ATAATTTGTTCATAAATTACAAATATACGAGCTAAGGGCACCAAACCCAACAATCTCCCACTTGTCCGAAAGCGAGTGAGATGTACAAGTATTACAATGAACTAGGATATACAATATACCCAATAACATCTCCCACTTGCCTTAGACTAAATGATACATGTCTCGTAAACCTAGACTCTCTAGATGACCCTCAAACACTTTAGCCATGAGAGCCTTTGTAAACAGATCAACAATATTGTGCTTCTCCCAAATCTTTCATTTAGAATTGTGTTGCCAGCCAGTTTTTTAATGTTGGTGAGAAAACATACATCATTTCCAATGGTAGGATATCATCAATGTATAAAACTAGGAAAGCTACAGTACTATTAACGACCTTCTTGTAAACACAAGGTTCGTCAACGTTTTGGTCAAAGCCATAAGATTTGACTGCAGTGTCAAACCTTATGTTCCAGGATCTYGAAGCTTGTTTCAATCCATAAATGGATATCTTAAGTTTGCAAACTTTTTGATCTTACCTTGTTCTATTAAGGCGGAGCATCGGTAGTCGGCGTCGATTTTTGGCTAAAATCGGCGCTGAAAACCGACCTAGTTGGTTTCAATTTTAGGAAACCGACCTTTTCTTCAAAGCTCTTTTGCACTGATCGAAACGACTTCAGTTCGGTCGGTCGATTTAGTCAGTTTCCACCAAGAAGCTGCATAAACTGTGAAGGAGGGGAGATGCGACATTGCCCATGGAAGAGAAGTGAGGGAGAGGTCACAACGGCGCTGAACAGAAGAGAARGGAGGGACACTTAAAATATTGAAGAAGAAGAAGAAAAAGTGAACCTCCCTCCCGGCGGYGCTGTGAACAGAAGAGAAGGGAGAGGAACCTTAAAATATTGAAAAAAAGAAGAAAAAACGAAGATGTAAAGATAAATATTGAAGAAGAAGAAAAAAAAACGAAGATGATGAAAAGATGAAAAAGCAAATACATTGGGAAGCTAAAAACCATCGATAAAAGAAATTTTGAAAACTAAAAAGTAAACTTAAAACAGCTGCTGKTTTTCAGCTGCGYTGCTTTATTGAGTGCTGCTRCCAGTTGGTAGCAGCTTTTCTTACTTTTTTTTCCGGTCGGTCAGTTGGAAAGTAGATGTTTTGACCATTCCGACCGACATATCGGTTTTGCATATTGCAAAACCGACTCCRACCATACTATCAACTAAATYGACCGACCGACGTCGGTTTGGTCGGTTTCGTTCGGTCGGATAGGTTTTTCGGACATGTTTGCTCACCCCTACGTTCTATGAATCCTTCTATTGAGACATGTAAATGCTCTCATTAATATAGTCATTCAAAAAAGTTGTCTTGACGTCTGTTTGCCATATCTCATAGTCATAATATATGGCAATCGCTAAAAGAATGCTGATGGACTTTAATATGRCAACATGGGAGAAAATTTCTTTATAATCAAAGTCATTCCTGCTGGGTATAACAATTTGCCACAAGTCTAGCGTTAAAGGTCTGAATCTTTCCATGACATCTCTCTTCTACTTGTAGATCCATTTGCAACCTACAGGTTGAAGGGACATTAATCCCGTAGCAGAAACAGAGATCTTGTTCTTTGAATTTTGAGGAACAAAACCCACAAAACCAAGCAAAAATACAGGGGTAAAGAACTTACTTTTGAAGAACCTTTCTTCAAGTGATCACCAACAAACACTACCACTGATTTTCTCGCTATCCTCTGGGAATGACGATCTTGCTTGTAGGAACAACGAATTTGGAATTCAAAAGGATTTTGTTATATTTCTTGAGAGAACTCTACAGGGGAAAAGAAAGACAAGGAAGAACCTCTTTGTTATATTCTGTTTTGCAGAACTATTCTGCAACATAAAACGAACATGACGTGGGGTAACTTCCCCACTCCCCTACAATTTTACAGAGGAGTTTTAATTAACTAAATATTAATATAATTAATATATATTAATAATCAATATATATATATATATATTAATTAATCTTACTAATCAATTAATTAATTAATAATCTAATTAACAATTATATATAGGCCGTCCATTAGGTTTTGATCTGTACGTCCATTAGGTCCCCTTGTTAGCTCACAACAGGTAAAACAAAGATCAAGTTTCTTGGAAGAATTTGAAATGTTCAAATTGYTCAAAAGATTATATATGTATATTGATACATTACGATATATAGTTAATTCTAATTAAAACTATATATTATGAGAGAAATTATTTGAATGAGATTCAAATGAAATTAATATGAATATGATTCATAGTAAAATTATTAATTATATTAATCAAATAAATAAATAACACTTAAGTATTTATTACCAAAATAGAATCATATTCTATARCATTTCTTTCGTATAACCTATAGTTGTAATGTACATTTTATGTACATTATTTTTTTAACCTATAATTTTACTATGAATAATATTCATATTAATTTCATTTGAATCTCATTCAAATAATTTCTCTCATAATATATAGTTTTATTTTAGAATTAACTATATATCATAATGTATCAATATACGTATATATAATCCCTGGAGCAATTTAAACATTTCAAATTCTTCCAAGAAACTTGATCCTCATTTTACCCGTTGTGAGTTAACAAGGGGACCTAATGGACCTACAGATCAGAAGCTCCAATGATACGAGATCAATCGGTCAAATTCATTAACCGAGTTAATCAACATTCATTAACTACGGGTGACTCCACTAAAGACCCGCAATTGCATTCTTCTCAATACAGAATATTTTCGTGTCCACGGATATACAACCATTAATGACAAGTCAATCCTACACGAGTGCTCGTAACTCAAGCTGGGTTAAATTACTGTTTTAYCCTAAGTTACGTCTTACTACTTAAATACCACTGCTCTTCTAATGAACAACCCGATTATGGTCCAACCAATAACCGAAAGTCCCTCTCGGGCCAGTGAGAGGGTGAGGCCCATTGTTCAATTCTCAGAGTCAGCATTTAAGAGAATACTCATCTACTCCTCTAAAGTCGGGAGGAGTGAACTYCATCTTATGAAGTTATGTTCCTAACTCCCCACTTGGTCTCGTCCCCACAATGGTAGGAATGTTGAGTCGGCGACTCGGGCCACTCTCACCCATACAGATCAAAGGACGAGCCTCATGGGCAGGAGTCCATAACTCACTCAGGATTGAGAATGAGTTGCTTGGTCATCCTATGAAATAGCAATCAGTTAGTCAATGGCGTTACATCTAACGATTTGTTATTTTGCCATCCGATCTTATACAAACTCATTGTATAGGATACCCTCACTCGCGTGTCTCCACACGAATGATAAGGTACCCTGCCTTATCCATATACTATAGACCCYTTAGGTTATTCCCGGGACATTATCCATTTGTATATGGAAGGTATATCAAATATATACCAGAATATACACTGTCCCGGTTATATGATAATAACCTTGGGTGTTTAGTTTATTGGATTTGGACAGTACAATGCTATGAATTCAACAACAAATTGATTGAATATAAATTTGTTTTTACATAAATACAAACTATGAGTTTAGGGCAACACACCTAACACGTTTTACCCCATCAAGTTGATCCACAAGCTCCTAGACAGAATTGGAGTACATAGACTCCATTTCCTGATCCACAGCTTTGACCTATCCATCTTTTGTCAATATCTTTCATTATCGGTTTATAAGACAACGAGTCCTCAACGCCATCATCAGGTATGACGACCTAGGATTTTGTTAATCCCACGTTACGRCCAGGTTGAGTTACAACCTTCCCGCTACGTCGAGGCCCTCTCAAATCTTGTGAAGTTTGATGTTAGCTCGATGTACTGGCTCTGTCAACAACCCTTGTTGATGGTCCAGCAGTATCGACAACTCTTGCTGTCGTACTGATAGCTTCATTSGAAATTTCATTTATCACCATTTTACTACGTGGTTTATGATCTCTTACGTGATTTTCTTCTAGGAAAGTAGCATTTGTCGATACAAATACTTTATTTTCATTAGGATCGAAGAATTAACCACCTCTTGTTTCTTTGGGAAAACCTACAAATAGGCATACATTTGAACGTGGTTCCAATTTCTTTGGGTTTGCCACAAGCACATGTACTGGACACTCCCAAGCTCTGAAGTGTCTTAAACTAGGTTTACGACCTCTCCAATGTTCAAACGGTGTTTCAGAGACACTCTTTGATGGAATATTGTTCAGGATATAAACTGCATTCTCTACTGCATAACCCCAGATCGARTCAGGCAATTAAGCATAGCTCATCATTGACCGAACCATGTCAACAGTGTTCTATTTCTCCTTTATGACACACCATTTTGTTGTGGTGTACCGGATGCTGAGAGTTGGAAAGCAATTCCGTGTTCTATCATATAGTCTTAAAATCTTAAGTCCATATACTCACTACCATGATCTGATCGAAGTGTTTTAATGGACTTACCTAATGAATTTTCAAATTCAGTCTTATACTCTTTGAATTTTTCAAGAGCTTCAGACTTATGTTGCATTAGGTAAAGATACCCAAATATTGAATAATCATCTATGAAAGAGATGAAATATTCATACTCACCACGAGCTCGAACATTCATTGGACCACAAAAGGTCTGAATGTACAAGTTCTAAGGGTTCTTTGACTCTATAACTCTTTGTTGTAAATGACCTTKTAGTCATTTTTACCCTCAAGTAATGATTCACATACTAGTAAAGAGTTGTTCTCTAACTCACTTAGGAGACCGCTCTTAACCAGTTTCTCAATCCTATTGAGATTAATGTGGTCAAGTCTGAGTGCCAAATATGGACATTTTCTTTAGGAGAAATTCTTTGTCTTTTGGAATGTGTTGTTGYAGTTTTAAATAATTCAGTGTTTAGAATTGTTTTAGTTAAAGTTGGTTTTAGTACGTACAAGTTATTTTCTAATTTTGTTGAACAAATTTCAACACMTTTTCTTATAATAAACGCTTCATTAGAAAGAAAATAGATTGACATAGATTATTCAAGTAAGCAAGCAACATAAATTAAATTYCTCTTCATTTGAGGGACAATGTACACATTATCTAATAACATGTATCTACGCTTGCTGAAAAATAACTTGACGCTGCCCATTGCAACAACAGAGATGATCTCTCCGATTCCAACTCTCAGAGACATCTTTCCGGCCTCTAGTTGCCTCAAGGAACTAATTCTCTGTAAAGAAAAGCAAAAGTGATTAGTGGCTCCCGAATCAATTATCTAGACATTCTCCACCAAACATGTTTCTAAAACGAGTAAATCGAATTTACCTTATTTTTCTTTCTTCTTCTCGGCCAAGTACTTCGTGCAGTTCCTCTTCTAGTGCCTTTCAACACTRCAGTGGAAACATTTTTCTTTGTCTACGACCTTAGCCTTTTTTTTCCTTTTGGGCAGCAGCATGGACAGTTTTATTCCCCTATCTACCCTTCTTCTTCTTGAATTTCTTTAAACACGAAGAAGAAGATCCAGGCTTAGTCCCAAAGGTCGAAGCTTTGTGGAAGTTTTTGTTGGAGGTGATAACATTTGCCTTCCCCTCAGGTCCCCTGTTTTTCATAAGGGACTCGTAAGTTTGGAGCTCATTGAGGAGCGTGGTTAGGTTGTATTCTAGTTTATTCATCACAGTGTTGCTGCGAAACTGAAGGAAGCTCTTCGGAAGAGACTCCATAATAAAACTGACTTGCTAGACTCATTGATGACAACGCCATTCATCTCTGCCACATTGAAGTGGACCATCATACCGAGAACATGTTCCCAGACAGATGTTTTCCCTCCTTCATCCGTAAGTTGGAGATGAATTTGAGAGCTTCATGCATGACTTGTGAGAAAAGTTTTCCAAACATGTCGTACAATGAATCCATGATCTCGAGTGCAGTGATCATGGTCTCATGCTTCTTTGCCAAAATATCAGATATGTTGGCCAAGATGTAGACTCGGGCCTTKGAGTTGGCCTTTATCCTTCTTTCATATGCGTCACGAACAACTTTCGTGGCGTCAAGTCTAACGGCCTCCAGACAGGCCTCCGTTAAGACAAAGTAGAGATCATCTACTACGAGTATGACATTAAGGTTCGTTTTCCACATGGGATAGTTATCCCCAGTCAGTTTATTGGTGTCGAGAAGTGAAATTAAAGACGTAAACATAATTGCTGATAACAAACAAATTATTTACATTAGAACTTTTTAAAAACTCTTTAAACCAATCAAATTTAGCAAATTAAGGAATAATCAACCCTAACAATTAAATAATTTGCAATGATACTTCAATGATTTAGAACAACCGCCACCGAAGGGTAGTCAGTTATTCCTTCACTGAATTGAGACTATCTCAACCAAGCACTATACTAGGACAACTCTTACCCCTATAATGATTAGCTACCATTTCATTTGGTCCAGAAATCATTAACTAACTTAATAATTTCTTGTAAGTATAGCCCTTTCATTTTGTACCCTAAAATTCTGCCCCGACACACCCACCGTARGGTAGGACAATACCGTCGTAAAAACTTTAGAATCCTATCCATTTATGGAGTTTACCATAGCATTGATCTCATGCAAACACCTTCTGAAGGGAGGATGCTCCCAGGACACCACGAGGCCGAGCATGAAACCCTTGCTTTGCAAACTAATGAAGGAGACCATAGGAATGTTGTCACATGACTTTCTCTCACTTACTTTAAATACTTTCTYCATTCACCTTGATATTGATCCATGCAAACACCTTCTGAAGGGAGGATGCTCCTAAGGCACCAYGATGCCAAGTATGAATCTCATAGTGTAAACTTCACGGAGAGCGTGAGGTAAATAGTATATATTATACATATATCGTATATGAAACATACTGGTATGTTATATACATACAGTAATCCTCTCACTAAGTATTTTATAACTTAGGGTTTATTATTTAAGAAAAAAAAACGGCTAAAACATTTTTCCTTAAATAAAATCATTTTCCCAATAGAACTTATTTAAAGTTTTGACTAATGTTTTTAGTTTATGAAACAATTTAATAAACTAAAACATTATTGCATGCTTTTATAGAATTGACAAATTCAACCCCTAGGTCGGTTCCCAGGTAGAGATGTTCCCTAAACGGTCAACTTAAATACCTTAACCTAGACAGAAYCTTGCTAAGACAGGGTTCCYTTATAGGCAATATTTTATAATTTTTTCTTTAAAGAAAAAACTCTAATCTTATTAGAAAAATTGTTAACGTAAGGTTTAATTAATTAATTTTAAAACCCTTTTCAAAACAAATTAATTTACTCTAAACATGCAATACTAAGCTTTAAACATACATATAACAATTATACATATAATTAAGTTTATAGGCATGCATCAAATGAAATTCATAAAACAATATAATAATTATATTTACTAAAGAAATTTCATGCTCAATGCAACTCATTTTTCCATTAATTAACATAACAATTATATTAATTACAAGAAAATTACAACATGCTTCATGTAATATAACACTTATATTAATACAGCTTCACGAGGGCAACACTGGACACTCTRGGCAATGTCACAACATTGTGACATTTTATGCAATGCGCATGTAGTTGGGTTAGCGTTTCAACGTGATTTTTTTTTTTCAGATTTTCGAACTCAACCTCGAGTCTTCTCCTTCAACAGTGAAAATTCTGCCTAATAGTGGCGAAAAACCTCCGAATTCATCCAGCAGGAATGATGATTTACAACATTAAATGCCCAAAACCCCGGGAACTTTACATTGATCCAATCAAATGAATTTGTAAATCTAAATGCCAAAACCAATAAACATCCAATTGCAAAACTCATAAACCTTAAACATCAAAATGCAGAAGAAAACCCACCATATTCAGTGCAAAATTTCAACAGAAAATTCAGAACGAAAAACTGCACTCTGATACCAATTGAAGGGGATGTGAATCCCGGAGCGGGAGTAGTAGAACGCGTTCTTGAATTTCTTATGAAATTTAAAATACATAAAAATATAAATAGGGAAGAAAGTTGGATTTTACGTCTGTAGACTTTCCTTCGTGTAATCCCAATGAAACAACACCACTTGATATTCCTGGCTAAGTCTCTCGGTCGAGAATCCAGATTGTGGGATCCAATTGCAAGGGATTGAGAGAGTAAGAGAGTTGAGAGATTTTTTTAGCCTTCCTTTAGGGTTTAGATTACTGTCATATTTATAGAGAGGGAAAATCATAAGACCGTTAGGATATCTTATCATTCTTGATATATGATATTAAAATAAATAAATAATTAACAATTAATTATTTAACTTTTAATTAAATATCACATATTTAATTAAAACTGTATATTTAAATCATATTCAARTGCATCTCTCTTGTATAACGTTTAATTTTAATATGAATCCAATTCATATTAATTATTTGAATYCTATTCAAATATTTATCTCATAACATATAGTTTAACTATTGAACCTTTATTCAAAAGTAAACTATATATATAATGTATCATCATATATATTATATACATTCCCTAATATATAATTTGAACATTTCCAATTCTCTCAAAATCTTGATCCTCGTTTTACCCATTGTGAGCTAGCAAGAATACTCAATGGACCTACAGATCAGAAGGTTAGTTAACTGCATATGATTCCACTAAAGATCTGCAGCTGCACTCTTCTCACTGTAGAATATTTCATGTCCACAGAAATTGACCATTGACGGTAAATCGATCCTTCAYGAGTGTTTGTAACCTCAATGGATCAAATTACCATTTTACCCCTAGATTACTTATTGTACCTTAAGTACCACTGATCCTCTAATGAACAATCTAGTTATGGTCCGACCAATAACTAGAAGTTTCTCTTGGGTCAGTGAGAGGGTGGGCCCCTTATTCAAGTCCAGGAGTCAGTCCTTGAGAGAACACTCATTTACTTCCCTAAAGTTAGGAAGGAGTAAATTCCATCTTGCATAGTTATGTTCCCAGCTCCCCACTCGGTCTTGTCCCCAAAATGTTAGGATTATCATTCTCACCCATACAAATCAAAGGATGATCCCTTATAGGCAGAAGTCCATAACTCGCTCAGGTTTAAGATCGAGTTACCTAGTCATCCTATGAGATAACAATCTATTGACCAATGGTGTTAGAGCCAATGATTAATTATTTCGCGGTTCAGTCTTATACAAACTCATTGTATAAGGTACCCCCAATCTCATAACTCTACATTTACGACCTGAATAAAGTTGTTTGTAAAGTTGTTTGTAACTATTACAAAGTGGGTCGTATCCATACTGTTACCAGGATAAAGTACCAAACCTTATCCATGTACTATAAACCATTTAGGTTATTACTGGAACATTATCCACTTGTATATCGAATATATACTATATATAAAAAATATACACCGTATATTAAATATACAATGTATATTAAATATATACTGTATATCAAATATATGCATTATATATTAAATATATACTGTATATCAAATATATATTGTTCTAGTTATATTAAATAACCTTGGATCTTAGTTTATTGGAATACGAGTAATGCAAATGAATAATAAGATAACTCTGTATTGAATAAATAATTTGTTCATAAATTACAAATACAAGAGCTAAGGACACCAAACCCAACATGTTTGCCTTGAAAGACATAAACTTGAGGAAAAGATTGGTGTTCCAAGCTATATCAAACCATGGCGCCCTTTTCCAGTTCCACTCGGTGTGGCTGTTAACCACCCTTGGGGTTGGGTCCATATATGCTAGCTACAACTTTCCTCCAAAGGGCTCTTTCTTCTTAAGTGAAGTGCTAAAGCCATTTAAGCAAAAAAAAACATTGTTTCGCTGCTTGAAAGAGCCAATACCTAGGCCTAAATACATAAGTGAGAGCAATGTCCATTCCCATTTTACTAGGTGGCTACACGAGTGAAAAGATCCTCTGTCCCAAAAAAAAGTCTTTCACATATTTTTCCATTGTTTTGATTACAGAAAGAGGGGCTTTCAACAAAGAAAAATAATAGAGATGTAAGTTATTAAGCACTGATTGAGCCAAGATTAGGCACCCCCTTTGGATAGGTTGAAAATTTTCCATTTGCATAGCTTGCATTTGAATTTTTACACCATAGGTTCCCAAAAATCGATAAATTTTACATTTTCATCCAGGGGGAATCCCAGATATGAAAAAGGGAGCCTTTATGTTCTATAACTAATAAGGTTAGCAGTGACCAAAATGATGCGCTCCTCAATGTTTATCMCTATAAGAGATGTCTTATCCAAGTTTATAGAGAGGTTTGCAGCAAAAATAAAGAGGGAGATAAGTCCCCACCAATCCATTAGGTCTTCTGTTTCACCTTGGCTGAAAATTATTGTGTCGTCCTGATATTGGAGGTGTGTTAAAGCCACGTTCTGGGAACCCACCAAGAAGCCTCTGGGGATTCTTTTCTCATGACATAAGTGGACTAGACAACTAAAAGCATCTCTAATGAGTGTAAAGAGGAAGGGGGAGAGAGGGCAGCGTTGTCTAAGACCCCTTTAAGCTAGGATTTTACCTCTGGGCCTTCCATTTATCATCATGAGAAGTTTGTTGAACCAACACAACCTTGGATCCAAGTGCACCATCTACAGCCAAACCCTTTCATCTTTAGCACAACCATCAAAAAGCTCCAATCGACCACATCATAGGCTTTCTCGTAATCAAGTTTCAGATCAAAACCTTGCGTCTTCTTAGCTCTCCATTCACCTACTCCTTCAGAAGCAACCAAGATCACATGCAGGATGTTCCTGCCCTCCACAAAAGCAGCTTGGGAATCGTGAATTACAGATGGTAGAGATCTTCGAAGCCTCCCGGCGAGGACCTTAGCAATAATTTTGTAGAGGGAGGTGACTAAATTGATGAGGCGGAAATCGCTAACTTTGCTGGCTGTCTTTTTCTTTTTTCGCTATGAGTCAAATATAAGTCTCATTTCTTCTCCCATTGATAATCCCATTTTGAAAAAAATCTTAGAATGCTTCAATGGGATCAGATTTCAAAATGTTCCATGACTTTTTATAATATTGGTTTGCCATTCCATTTGGGCTAGGAGATTTGAGAGTACCTAGGTTCCGAATAGCCTTGTGCACTTCCTCTTCACTGAAGAGCACCTCATGGGGAAAAAAAGGAATATTCMAATTATTTTTCCATTTACATCATCCAAAGAGCAAGGAGTAGTTTAGGCTCTAACATATACTGACCCTCTTTATGTAAAATTCAGTAAAAATGTCATTAATTCCCAGCAGTATTTATTTATTTATTATTATTATTATATTTTTTTTACAATAAACAAAATTTTCATTTCTCAAAGAAAATAAGTTCTCCCAAAGGGAGAAAAAAAATGATAAAAAACAGAACAAAACTCCAAATACAAGGGAATAAAATATTGTTCAACAAAACACACACATTTTCAGCATGTTCGAATTTGAGACCTCTAAACAAACATGATCAAGAGACCTTAAGTGTTTGCCAAGTGGGCTCCCCCTCGCAGCATTCAATTCGAGCTTTCTTCTAGAACGAGCTTCAATGCAAGTTTCTTTGTGAAGCTGTCCAATTATAGATCTAAATGATCAATCCTAGCAGATTCTTTCTTCGTAAATTAGCATTTAAGTGCAGAATCAAAATCATTGCCAAACCAATGTTTCTTTTTCCAAGTTGTAATTTCAATTTCATATAAACAATGTAATTATAATAGTTTTTGAAGAGGGTTCATCACACCTAAATCGAAGAAATCTACAAAATCTCTATAAGAATTGTTGGAGGACTTCTTCCATAGTTTCTTGTTAAGACCATGAAAATAGCGTTTTCCCGTAAAATCTTTGCTCTTCCTCAGAAAGTGTGACCACAAAGAAGTTGCTGAATAAAGTCTAGAAGAGAACCACAATTCACTGTTATCAGAGATCATACTTCTGGAAAAATCTTTCATGTAATTTGGAAGCAGAAGAATAGTAAATGAATAGATAGTTTTAACTTTCCAAGTTAGTATTTTTTTTTTTAACAAAATACAAACTTCTCATTGATTAATGAAAAGATACAAGATGTGCAAAAGATACAAACTCCTAAAGGGTTGCGAAAAAATAAAAAGACAAGAAAAAGAAAGATTGTAAACAGAGTAATACAACGCAAAAGAGCCACCGAAGAAAAACTAMAAAAAGGCTAAAGCGGTTACGTCCTAAAAGAACCTCCCAAGAGCAAGGAACCAAAGATAGAAGCTTTAGGAATCTTGAACATCAAGGACATCATCAAGGTCATCTTGATCTTCTGGGAACAAAACTTTGAACTTCTGAGAATATTTGACCCGAATATTTCTAACACCTTCTGCAAACTTTTTTTCCTGCTGAGCTTGAATCTCCATCATTCCATCATTTTTATAGAGTGTGCTTCAATACAAAGAGTCTTTTCTTTGCGAATTTTGGCAAGTTCAGACTAGTTCAGACTGAAGGGAGGATAAATAATCATCAATTAAGAGGGGGGGATAAACTTGAAATGAACTTAGGGAAGAAACGATGTCTTCTTTAAAAACTTGAAGGGATAGATCCATGAAGCCAACGAAAAAGACCCCACTAACACACCGAAAATAACTTATGAATTGGAGAAAACCAATAAAAGAACCGCTGCCTCTAAATAAGAGAAGCAAAGGCAAAAGAGACCTTTCAACTCMTCGAAACACCAAGGATAATAAAAGGGGAAAATACCTTCATAGAGAACCGAGACAGGCTGCCTTTGGTAATCCAACAAATAAGAAAAAAATTCTGCCAAAAAGACTCCTCAGATCCCGCAAATACCACCAATAAAGAAGAACATAAAAGCTGGCTAGGGAAAACATGAGGCATGTCCAAAAACCGTAATAAGACACCATTCCTAATCGTTAATGATAAAAATGGCAAAAACCCTTGAGTCTTTTATAAGAACTCAGAATTGCACATAAATGTAAAAACAGCCTCTGCATCAGATTATAAACAAATGAACAACTCCATACCTAAAATTACATGCCAGTCAATGAAATTTTCAATGGTTGAGCCCTGTGGCTGCCATGAAAAAAATTGTTTGGCGCCCTCAATTATGACTAACAATGAAAGGATATACTTCTGTTTGATGTATACATCTGACATCCACTCTACACATGAGGCCGGAACTGACTGTAAAATTCAGTGAAGTCAAGGCGGAATAAGAGGAACTTCAAATCTACATGTTGTTGCAAAGGCAGCTGAGAAATGAACCCCTCAAGCAATGACGAATATTCTTTAGCTAATGCTGCTAGATCTTGCTCAACATTCCGAAGAAATTCACCAGCACGTTGTGTTAGAGCCTTCCTGCCATCAGCTATCCACGATGCTGTCTCTAAAGATTTCTCGGCTGCACGATTCTTTTTACTCTTGTCTCTAGAGGGTAGAGATGATTCTATTGTTCTAATAAAACACAAGATGCACAGAGTCAAAAAAAAATAAAAAAAGAAATAGTACATAGAGGATCATTAAAATAAATAAACAAAAACAAAATATTACCTGCATTGTAGTTCATGTATTCCCTCATATAACCTGTCCGCATGACTTCGAAATCGCAATATTAGATCAAATAAGACAAAAAGTGACTTGCAAAGTGTCTGAGATTGTTCTCCAAGAAGAGACTTCTCAAATATTGAATGAAGATACTTTTCATGAGCGGCAAGTAAATCATCCAGATCCATTGCTGCTTCCATTTCATTCGAGAAATCAGACCACGATACCTCCAAGACTTCAAACATTATATAGTACTGCAAGTTTGTAACAAAATGATTCATCTCAACCCAAAGGACCTGGCATCGCCTCAACGTTGAGAGTAATCGCAACTTAACCGATTGGTGCAGCTTAGTCAATGAACACGACGTGATGCAGTTTGGTTTCATTGTCTTCCAAGTACCTATAAGTGCGTGCTCAACACGTCTAAGCTTCCACAAAAAATTAAAGATCCTTAAATATTTTGACATGACAGACTCTGTAAATACAGTATCTAGTGGAACTCTTGCCTCGTATTCCAATGAGAATACATCCCAACCCCTATCTCCAGTTCCATGAGGCATCATCTTAACCCTCAATCTATCCAATATGTCTGGATCATCATACTGAGCATTAGACGAGCGAATTGCAGTTTCCAGCAGACCAGATAACTTAAAGGAGCTAATAGCATTAGCAGGCTCAGAAAGCTCAGGCCCAACAATATCCATCAAATATTGGACAAAATCACCTTGTCCTAATAGTAAATAGCGTTTAATTGCTAGACAATGTTCTTTGAACTTGTACCGCTTGTGCATTACATCCAACAAGTGTTTATCTATTCTTTTTGCTGCTCCATCTACCAAAGATTCAAGGGCATCAGTCTCACCATATCCAAGACCTCCCCTTTTGGTTGTGGTCCCAGCAGCTACTGCAGCTTCTGTTGCAGCATCGGCCCATCCCATATCCTCACAACAAACACGAAGGAAGTTAATCGATTTCCCAGTCCTTAAAATACGTTGTGCAAGAGACTGTGGAATGAAAGATGGAAGCATGGCAGCATGAAGCCTATAACCCTCCCTCCAAAGAGACTCGGCTTTCACTTGCTGACCAACAACAAAAAACTCAGAAAAAATGTCTTCCAGCTCCCCTTCTAAAACCCAACTCCGTACCATCTCGAACAGTGGAGAGCATACACGCCGCAGCAAATGCCTCATGAATTCAAGCACCAAGGGGTCACCATGCTGAGCATGTAAATGAATAGCCCCAGCCATTGCCCCACCCTTCATGACCCGGCACTTGTCCACCAATACAGCCATCAACCTCATTTTCGCCATTGGCTCAGCAAACCAGACCACTAACCTCCTTAGAGACAGATAGTTTCCCGAACTTGCTGTCTCTGAAACCAAAGGTATTGGATTCATCGACTGGGCTTCAAGAACTGCTAACAATTTATAGTACTCCGAAAGCTCATCCTGTAATGCAGCACAAAAAGCATGCCCCACAGTTCCAACATCCTCAGCTGGAAAACGTTCCATACTCTCTGAAATATAACCTTTAACCTTCCTAAATAGCCACCCCATTTCACAGAGCTTCCGAACCATTGTCCTAGTTGCCCTGGGAGCCTTAACGAAACTGGATAAAACATACCCATCAGAATTATTGTCAAATTTCACATACTTTCCATCGATGCCCTGACAAGCGTACAACACATCCCTCACCAAAACCTCCTCCGTCACTTCATTTTCCTCCTTCAACAAATTGACAAACTCCTTGAAAGCAATATCGCGAAGATTTTCAGGGTCTTTCGCGACCAGCAAAACCCCCTTCTGCCACTCCTTTTCAGCGCTTCCCCGCGGCCGTAAACCCCCAGAATCAGAATCCTTCCCCAAAACGGGATCACTGGCTACCAAATTTGGCAGCAGCACAGAAGACTCAAACTGGGTCTGCTTACATTTCCGATCCTCGGACACAATTTTAAGCAAATAAAGCACAGCCCACTTGTTATCGACACTCCCAGGGCCGGTTTTGGAGGCAAATTTAGTGTAGAGATCAGCGAAGGTGAGGGCCTGAGAGGACTTACCTTCAGTGGCGAGGCGGCGCTTGATGGACTCGGCAATGGCGGCAGCATCGGGAGCAATTGAGGGAGCCATACGGCTGGTGAGGATGCGGATTGCATAGCGGAGAGAGTTGTGGAAATCGGAGGAGCTAGGGCTGGGAGGGGCGGATTCGGAGGTGGGATTGTGGGAAAGAAGGCGAAGAACAAGCTCTTTGATGAGATCAAGAACCTTACTGTTGTCGTCGTCCTCCATTTTTAGAGGGAGAAGAAGGAATAGAAGTGTAGTCTCAGTCTGTTGTGTAATAACAATAACGGAAGATCAAATCCAAGTCTGCTTTTTGATTTTCTTTGCGGGCGCGGATTTTGCCTCTGCGCTTGCTTTGCCTTTTCTTTCTTCCTTTTTTTTTTTGGGCAAAAAAGAAAAATCAATCTACATATAAAGATTTGTACAATTTCATGGAAATATCATAAAATGTTAATGTGGATAAATATTTGAGTAAAAGTTAGAAAAATTAAAAAATTAAAAAATATTTAAATTAACCAATAAAYATTTTTTCTATTTCTAAATTAGTTAAAAATAATTAATATTAATATTAATTATATATATATTAGTGATATTTTGTTGATATTTTTCATATTTTGTCAATTTTCTTGTACTATGATGTAAATGTCGATTCATCTCTCATGTCGATGTCAAACCCATGGAAACATGATATGTCGATGGAAATGTTGACGTGTCGATGAATATTTAGAACCATGATCAATAGATTTAACATTTCTGCTAAACGAGCATGACTCGATAATTGACATATATCTTCAATTAAGAGGTTGTGAATTATTTGACATTTCAAGATATCAATTAGAGATTCGACATCAAGATCAATCCACATTTTCTTAATATTACAAAAAAATCAATAAAATATCGAAAATATCGATGAGTGTCATTAATAGATATAATACTAATATTAATAATTTTTTATTTATTTAGAAATTATGAAATATTTATTTATTAATTTAAATAATTTTTAAAGATTTTTTTTATAACTTTTTCATAGATATCTATCATCTTCGACATTTTATCAATATTATATTGATATTTTCATAAAATTGATACCTCGACATTTTCATCGACGTCAACATTTAACAGTTTGGTTGCTCCAATGATTTCTATTTTACGCTAAATTTGATTACAGATTCTTTATTAATTTAATAATTATCCACTCTCATTCTTTGAAAAACATTGGCCTCTCATTTGATTGTAGGTTTTAGTTTTTTAAAATTATGGGTATGTAATCACAATTCTTTTGGAACGCTTTTAACTTTAAAAGATTTCAAAAATATAAATTAGTTTTCGAAAAGTACCTTTTGTTTTGTTTTAAGAAATTGGCTTAGATTTTGGAAACTTTCTGTCTTATTGGCTATTACCCTCTCTTTCTTTCTGTCAGTCTACTTTACTAACTGAAAAACASGAAGTCGCTCATTCAAACTTCCCGCCCTCCTCAGAAAGAAGTGGATACAAAATAAAGAAATATATTATTGGTGGAAGTAATATTTGTGATAATTCATCTCAAAATGAATGAGGATTCTATTGTATTAATTAAAACTGATTACAGAAATTAATAAAGGCTTCAATAAGCCAAAATAACAGAAAGGTAACTCCTCTTAACAAACTAACGATACATAAGTATAATTAGCATATAATAGTTATCATAACTACTCTACTTTAACAAACTAAACAATACATAAGTAGAATTAGYATATAACAGTTATCATCCCCCTCAAACGAATCCTCAGAGAGACATGAGTTTGGACCGAAAAAACATCAGACGAGAGGAAGGAAGGGGCTTGGTAAAGAGATCTACCACTTGAAGATCAGTAGAAATATAAGCAAGCTCAAGTCTTTGCGAACCACTCGTTCACGAACAAAGTGAAAATCAATTTCTATGTGTTTGGTACAAMCATGAAACACCGGATTATGAGCCAACTTGATTGCCGAAGTATTATCACACCACAATAAGGGTGGTTTAGTGCTGAAAATACATAGATCTTGAAGTAACTGGCGTAACCAAGCAAGTTCTGCTACAGTCGATGCAAGGGCTCGATATTYAGCCTCTGTCGAACTACGAGACATAGTTGACTGTTTCTTAGCACCCCAAGATATAGGATTAGGATCTAAGAAAATAATAAACTCTGAGGTAGAGCGACGATCACAAGAATCACCGGTCCAATCAGAATCAGAGTATGCATTCAAACGAAGAAAATCATGTTAGCCTTTACAAAAAATCAATCCAAGACCAAGAATCTCATTAATATAATGAAGAACCCGATTTGCAGCAACAAGATGAGCAACATGAGGCATGTGAATGTATTGGGAGAGCTTACTGACAGCAAAGGCAATGTTAGGCCGGCTGAAAGTTAAATAATGTAAAGCACCAATGAATGCTCTATAGCTCTTATTATCCTCTGATGAACAAACAGCACCCAGATCAGTAGGAAATACCAAAGGTAAAAGAGTCGTGCAGGGTTTAGCACCAAGCATATGAAACCGTTGTAAAACATCATTAGTATATTTAGTTTGATGAACCAGAAGACCAGCTCGTGAATAAGAAATTTCCAGCCCAAGAAAATACTTTAAAGAACCCAAGTCAGTCATGTCAAATTGAAGCTTGAGTTGGGAAATGAGAGTAGTAATATAACAAGGATCAGTACGAGAGTAGTAATATAACAAGGATCAGTACCAGTTACTATAATATCATCCACATACAATAAGAGGTAAGTGATTGAGCATCCCGCACGTCAAACAAAAAGAGAAAAGTCAACCAATGAAGCCACGAATACAAGAGTAAGCAAATAAGAAGTGAAGCAATCAAACCAAGCACGAGGTGCTTGTTTGAGGCCATATAACGACTTAAGAAGCTTACAAACAACAGTGGGTTGAAGAGGATCAACAAAACCTTGGGGTTGTTGCATATAAACATCCTCATGAAGCTCACAATGAAGGAACGCATTCTTAACATCAAGTTGTCTTAATTGCCAACCATATTGAGCAGCCAAAGAAAGAATGATACGAACAGTAGACTTTTTGACAACCGGACTGAATGTTTCATCATAGTCAATCCCTTCCTCTTGATGATAACCTTTAGCCACAAGACGGGCTTCATAACGAGCAACGCTGCCATCAGGATGTCGCTTAATCCGATAAACCCATCTGCATACTATAACATTTTTACCAGGAGGAAGAGACACCAAACACCAAGTATTTTGCTTAACTAAAGCATTGAACTCCTCAGTCATTGCATTCTACCAAACAAGAATTTTAGAAGCCTAAGTAAAGGAAGAAGGCTCAAGGTTTTCACTTGTGTCAGCACCTACATTAGCAAGAAAGAGCCTCTTTTTGGTAATGCCAGACTTGCTCCAAGTTTGCAGTGAGAATTGGAGGTGAGAATTGGTGGAACAGAGGCTATAGGAATATCAGAAATAGTAGGTTCAAATAAAACCACTTCAGATCGCGAAGGGGCAGCAGTCGGTGACCTTGCTGAAACAATCGGAATTGCACCTGCGGAAACATCATTTGAAGAACCCAAGGAAATATCAAGGGAATTAGAAGTAGATGGAGTTGCAGAAAGTGAAGAATCCATGCCAATAGGTGTAACAGGTTGTGATGTTAAAGAAGGTTACAGAAGTAGAAGAGGAAGAGAATTGGAGGATATAAGACTCAAAGAAGAAATGGAAGATAGTGATAAAGAAGTAGCAAATGGAAATAAAGCTTCATCAAATAGAACACGATGAGTAGTGTATAGACGACTAGTGCTCATGTTGTAACAAAGGTATCCTTTAAAGTCAAGAGGATAACCAAGAAAAACAACCAAGTTGCACACCCAAATGTTTTAAGAGAAGCATAGTCTGGTGGTTTATGAAAAAGAAAATTCCAAAGGGTTATTTATGGTTAAGTATAGGCAATGGAAGGCAGTTAATAAGGAACACTGCAGTAGCAAAGGCAAAAGGCCAGAATTTGAGAGGAARAGATGCTTGAGACATGAGAGTAATGGCTGTTTCAACAATGTGACAATGTTTGTGTTCAASAATACTGTTTTGTTGGGGTGTATAAGCACAAGATTTTTGATGAAATATGGCATGAGTTTGAAGATAAGAATCGAGAGAATGATTGATAAACTCCCCTCCCCCATCAATTCTAAGAACTTCAATGCGTGAAGTGAGTAAATTCTCAACAAGAGGTTTAAAGGACTGAAAAACAGAGGAAACATAAGATTTAAATTTCATGGGATACAACCAAGTGTATTTAGAATAGTCATGAACAAAGGAAACATAATAGTTGAAGCCATTTATTGAACATTTAGGGGAAGGCCCCCATACATCAGCATTCAGCCTGATCAACAGGCTCAAAGCCCAAAGATCGGCTCAAGTCCAGCCTAGGCCTGATCCAAGCCTGGCCCAAGGTCAACATTTGACCGACCCGGCCCAGCCTCGCCCATCCATAAATTGGATTAACCCATTTGGGCCATATTTGGATCGGTCCATTGGGCTGGCCCAAAGATCCGATCCAATATTTATTAATATTAAGATTATATAATAATAATATATTATTTTATTATTTATTTATTATAAAAAATAAGTAACACATAGGTATGGTAGGATGACATGCAACAACTTTGATTTCCACTCTATTAAATAAAAACATCTTATGAAGAAACTTTCAGCTTCCCAATATCTGATTTAAATATTTGTTTTGAAAAATACAAAAGATTTGAAAGGTTACAACTACATGATATTTTAAAATTCAAAATTCAAAATTATTTTAAACATATCTAATATTTATATATTATCAATATATTATTTTATTATTTATTTATTATAAAAAAAATAATACATAGGTATGGTAGGCTGACATGCAACAACTTTGGTTTTTACCCTATTAACATGTTAGGAAGAAACTCTCAAATTTCCCAACATCTCATTTAAATCTTTGTTTTGAAACATTTTACCAAGAAACTCTCTAGCTTCCAATATCTTATTTAAATACTTGTTTTGAAAAGTACAAAAGATTTGAAAGGTTCCAACCCCATGATATTTTAAAATACAGAATTTAAAATTATTTGGAACATATCTAATATTTATGTTGTAATTTTTTAAAATTTTCAATACAAATTTTTCTTATAAATATCAACTTCTTTTCTTTTTCTTCACTCAAATTATAATTCTCAATCTCAATTTCTTTCTCATTCTCAATCTTAAATTCTCTCAAGTTCCAATTCAAAGTGTTTAAGTTTTCAATTTTTCTTGTATTTAACCCCTGTTTATCTCAAATTTTTTCTGTATAAAGTTAAAAAAATAACAAAAAATGTACCAAAAACTATATAAAAATA